GCGTCGGGCTGCGTCGGCCGACGCTGTCTGAGTTGGCCTTAAGAGCCAGTTCACACTTTGAGACCGTCTTAGTATAAAGAGCTACTATAAATCTAACTATATAAATCTAACTGAATTACCAATTAAAAACAAATAAAATAAGAAGATAGAATTGCTGATAATTAACCATTTTTATTTTTGTTTGCAGGTTGTTATTGCTTGGAGTGTATGGCAGATTTAAACAACATTTGTTTGGTATGCTATATGCCGATAGACATAGTTGGACTTGATGAATTCAGCGAGGAGAGGTAAGTGTACCTGGGATGAGTTTTGATTTATTGCGTATGAATATCGATATTTGTGGCGGGGGTGGGGAAAAGAATGTCGGGGCGCGGCAGTATTTCGACAAATAGACCTAAAGTGATGTGTTGACTTTTATACTTGAATGTGTTTTGTTTTGTTTGTTTGTTTTTTTTTTGTTTTTTGTTGTTGAAGGGAATTCAACCTATTAGGTGAGCCACTAGGCACGGTCCGATTTTGAATGTATACCTACTTTCAACTACTACTGCTAACAATGCTTCATTCTATTACACAATTCTATTTTGATGCAGGGATTCTAGTGATGAAGAGGAATATGATCGACTGATTCACAGCAAAAAAAATTCAAGGCTAGTTGACGAATTTGAAGATGATACCGGAGAATACACCACTGCGACAGACGAGTAACCTGTGATAAATATGTTACTTTAGACAACATTGTCAAATTAACAGATACTCATATGTAAAATTTAATATACAGTATAGGCCTAAGTTATGATATTGGATGTTACCAAGCACCATGTGTTAAGTTAGTGCCAATCAAATTACTGCTGCTGTCGGATTGATACATAAACTCAGATGTATACCGCAGTGTCCCTCAATCGCAATTATAGTTTTTGGCATGAGTTAACACAACCCTATTGATGACTTCACTCTGTTAACCACTCATCACGGCCTTCATGTTCCTCCAGGAAGATTTATTGAAGCAAAAAACAGAAGAAACAGTTTGTAAATTTTGATTACAATTCGTGCGGTGTCTATTTTACCTTTTTAAAAAGCAATTAAATAAAAATTTAAAAATGCGTAAAAGGCTGTCCTTCGCAAAATGGGAAAAGGCATTATAAGATCTTTGAGATGAATACTCTTCTTCATAACATGACATTACTGTTATAATTACATTTCACCAGGGAACTGTTCACTGTTCCCTGATCTCACCTTGGATGTAGTATAAACTATTTGTTATTAATATAATTTGCGATTCATTCAATAGAAATATATCAATTTTACAGTGTATAGAATGTTTTTATGCCATTAAAATTAGGCCTATACTTTCGTTAATAAAAATATTTTCATACATATCCTACGTGTGTATATTGATATCGCAATTTATTCATAACTATATCGAATTTAGACAAGCAAGGACGATAACAGATAAGATTATTGGGAGGCCTTGAGAATATGCATTTATGATTATAACGTAATTTTGATGTGTACCAGTTTGCAAATTGCAACACGAAGGAACTAAAACCGGGCACACACTGACGTACGGTGATGGTACGACCGTCACCCGTCGAATCCAGATCTACTCTCTGTAACCGCTTGACGACGGGTGGCATTTTGACCGGACCGTTCTTCAAAGCGATCCGTTGTGCGCAACTTGTCCCGTTGCGTTCTATGGAATAGCGTCGGCCATGTTTTGGGCTGGGTACGAAATGTCAAGCCTATAGCACCTCATCATAATCGAGACATTGTACGGCGACCGTACGCGGGCCGTACCGACCTACGGTTGTATCCGGCCAGAAGTAGGACCTGCCCTCAGATCGTAGCCTCTCTCACACAATCACGACGTAGCCTCCGGTCGTATGTCGTAGGATGAACCCCAGCACCTGCCATTTATTAGTGGAAATTATAACGGTCACTTTAGTCAAATGACTACGACATGTGTGAGAGCGACTACGATTAGACTGGCGACCAGCACCGACCACAATAAATTTTTCAACATGTTGAAAACTCCGCAACCATCAACGACCGTCTCACACTATCACGATCTGGCCACGACCGCTTGCAGAGTAGGTCGTGATAGCGTGAGAGTGGCTTATGGCACCAGATAACCGGACACTCTCAGAGACTAATTTGAATGTAATTTTATTTTTTCCGCTTTTTAAATTAAAAAAGAATAGGGACTCCTTAAAAGGAACCATACCAGGGGCAGACTTAAATGGGGGAATTCCCCCGCCCACCCCCTCCCCCCTTTGGAAATAAAAAAAAAGAAAAAGAATCAGAAGTTATTTTCGGGCGTCTGTAACACAGAAATTTCGCAGGGGAAAGCGCCCGGACCCCTAGTATTGTTACCTCGATCGACCCCACTTCCGGACCCCCGCCCCTTTTAGACATCTCTGGATCTGCACCTGCTATACCAATCAGTCAAACGCTCAAGTGGCCCACCTCTTCTATTCCTCATAATTTCAAGTAGCAACCATGCATTTTTATTTGAATTAAATTTGAATTAGTTTTCATCATTATTAAATTATTAAATTAAACCACAATTTCATACAGTAATAAATCGGAATAATAGATTACCAATAACCTATACATTTAATACACAACACTATGACTTATGTAAAATGATTGTCAAGGTCATTGGCATAGCTAATCGTTTTCAATCTTGAAAGATATTGTTTTTAAAAATATATTTTTACTCATTCACTGTACCATATTATTCAATTTCCCTTTCCGTTTATCTACATCTCATACGACACCATGTCTCTTCTCTGCATCCTGTTTTAATGTTGCTATCTATCACGCCTTTCTACAAGCAGTATTTTCCGTCAGTACTTTACCATTTTTTAAATTTTAATTAATTTTTTTTTATTCCTTTCATCACACTTGATCTCATATCCGACAGCAAGTACTTGACACTCTTGCCAGTTACAGGATAACCATGTGTGAATCCAATGCCTTAAAGCTTGGTCCATGCTATGCTACTTTAGAGACGCGTTACGCAGTAAGCAAACGCAAGTAATCGACTTTTGCGTCAACACGCCCCAATAAACCCCTCCCCAACCCAAAAAAAAAAAAAAAAAAAAAAAAAAACCCCAAGAAAAAGTACTAAAAGAATAACGCCGATTGGGCGAATGTTTAATATTTTCTTAATTAGACCCTACTTCCGTTGATTGAATTATAAGATTATAAAAAGGGGCATTGGTTGGATATCAAAACCCTCACATGATCAGTTGAATCCTTTACGAAAAAAAAATAGTAGGCCTATGTATGGTGAGTGCAATTATGTCCATAAGTCTAAGGGATCGTCCACTTATTATATCATTTTACAAGATCCTTCTGTGATTCCTCTCCTTCTCATTTTGGAATTATTATTTTAATTTTTTATTTTTCTAACGTGTGTTTTGTACTGCGAAAATAATGAAATTACTGGATGGTCCCTGAGATATTAGTATTTTTAAGTAAATTATCTACATTAGGGGACGAAACCTTCAGAATCGATAAGTTTATATTTCCTTAATTAGACTTCCGTTTAATTGACTTATAAGATTATATAAAAAGGGCCATTGGATTGATATCAAAACATCTTAAATTTAATTAAAAGTCCTATTGTACAGGAGCTACCCTGGATATTGCACGTAATTTAAATCATCGAATGCGCTCTACAAGTTCATAAATATGTCACAGGACGACAACACCACACCTAACCAAAAGACAATCAAGTTTAGGATAATTTACAATCTATGGCCATATCCATGGAGTGGCGGTTCAGGGGTCGACTTCATTGGACTCCGCTCCTGACAATAGCCGAAAATTGTGTGTGGAACTTAATACTATTATTATGTTTTTTTATGATACAGCTTTTATCGCATAATTATCCCCATGCAAAAACACGATTACTTTATTGATGCAATTTATTTTCTTCACATGATATTTATAATACACACTAATTTACGTTGAGAGTGGCTGTAAATATTCGGAGGTCTTTGCTCTATGATCAACCTACCGCATACTTTTATTTTGAATGTATTATGTAGGCCTAAGTGGTGAATAAATGAAACTTGAAGCTTCAAACCCTCGTTCATCGGGCCATGTCCTCGATTTTTTTACACTTCTCGTTCTCGGCAACACCCCAATATCCTTCCTGTTCATCAAGAATATTAACAGCAACGATTAAGTAGGCCTAAGTCTTAAAGTTCGCCTGTTAAGCTGAACCCTCAATGTGCCCGACAGTTCCGCCGCTGCGCGCTCGTTGTTTTTGACGAAACGACGTGCGTGCAATGTCAGGCTGCCACCAACAATCAGCAGGCGACTTCGCTTCGCCTAGTGCTCACAGGGAGCGGAGTTTGTCGGCCGACGGTCATACGACGCAAAGAGAGTGGCCGAGTTATGACTGACTCATTAAATAATTCTCCAAATAGGCCTAACTAAACTTTGGAGAAAAATGAAATGCTTGAGAATGAGATGATTTTTGCCAGTTGAGTGAAACTGCTCATGTCACAGCCAGTATAAATGGCAATAAGGAATGTAAATAATAATAATAATAATAATAATAATAATAATAATAATAATAATAATAATAATAATAATAATAATAATAATAATAATAATACAGTAATAATAATAACAATAGTGTAGTTTTATATAGTGCCGGTATTCAACAAACAAGATGCTCATTGCACTTGATATGTGGACTAGGAACTCGATCAATGACTTTCTTCGCCCCTAGAGGTCCCTTTGTGTCTGTACTCCTCGGTTATCCCTGTACAAGCAACTCCCATCGTCCACAGGGGCTGTTCAAATTGAGTCGGTAGCGGCACCTCTGGCAATTTTACACATGCAATAATGAAAAAATATTATATAGCCTACATCATCCAAGACAGAGCTAATGTGGGCAAAAAAAGGGTAAAAAACTCAAAATTTGTGACTAATGTCACGATTTGATTCTGTCATCGAAACTTTCCAAGATACGCTGCAACTGCCACCACTAATCGTGATGTTTGCAGTAAAATGCTGATCCGGCTGTCTTGGTCCTTTCGTTCTGCAAGTTTTTTTTGTTTTTTTTTTGTGTTTTTTTTCAGACCATGATTTTTTTCCATATCACACTCAATCATGTTATGTCAATGTCACTTGGAAACTTTCCCAAATCTCAATAATCGCCGACTCTTCCGTCCGGGAGCTTACTCATTGAGCCAACTATGTCCGCGCTAAATGTATGTACAGTATGCCTATATTGTAATGAAGGAGGTAAAAAATATTGTATCGAACCCGGGAGAACGACCCACTTCAACTTTGGCAACTTTTCTATTTACTTTCATCACACTGTAAATACGGATATCTTACTAATGAAGCAATTGAATATTCGAAGTAAAAACATCGAGAACCTAATCTGATTAATGTAACATCGTGTTTTTGCAGTGTCACTAGTTAAATTTCAATTTGTTTTTTGATTGAAGTTTGGGACTCTAAATAAGATTAAAAATAATAAATCAAGCAATCAAGCAATTAATCGAGAACAGTGGGCGCAGAAATGTGGACTCTCTCAACATCTTATCCGGTCAATATTAAATTCAAATCAGATCCCAGTATAATCAAATTACGGTATATTCTTAAAAAAAAAAAAAGTCAATTGAATTCCAATTGAATTGTAAAATTAAAAATATACTTCTCGTATATAGTTTATACGAGGCGTTTTCACGATGACCAGTAATGGCAGAATCTGCAGATGGGGGTTGCAATTCCAACAGGGGGTCCGAACCAAGGCGACGCCTAGAGCATCGGTCTGGGTACCGAAGTAAAAAATGTCCAGGCCTGGTGGGGTTCATGGGGAGAGATTTTATGGTTTAGGATGACCCAACATTGTGCTTTTAGACAATATTTATAGTGATTGGCACGACGACCTCGTCAAGGTGTTGGCAGTCAGGGCCCAATCTTGTTCCAACATGGTCCGCCCCATTCATTTTTATTTATTGATTTTGTTATTAGGTGCAAGGGCCAAGAGGATATGCCAAACAGCAAACTTAATCAATCTTCTAATTGGCAATCCCCTGACAAGAAAAGCATACACGCATACAAATTCGTGTTAATCCCCCCCCCCCCTGTCGCCACTCTTTTCGGACAGCAAAATATTATAAATTAAACTAAGTTAAGTAGGCCTTAAGTCTAGATCCGTCCCTAGTCAGCTGACTGTCTATGTAAAAACAAGACAGGGACACCCTCAGGCGTATTGTAGATTTCAATCATTTATGACGTGGTAGGGTTCGTGGTTTTCACACTAGGCGTTCAGTGTGATATTCACTTTCAATGAAAATTAGAACGCAGAATTAGCCAGACAAAATACTATTGAATTTAATAACTTCCTTGGTTCTCTTTAATAAAAAAACAAAAACAAAAACAAATTGCAAAATCTAGTCCCGAGCGAATAGAGACCTCGTTTATTTGCGCTATATAAATCCATATATTATTATCATTTATTATTAACTATTTATTTTTTCCATTGCTATCATCCTTTTATCTTATCACCAGCCGCACTGCACTTGTGTGCTCAGGTTTTTCATACTTTTTCGTTAATTTTGTTTTGTCTACCCAGTAGGTTTTTTTTTTTTATCTTATTTTAGGCCCAAACTCACCTACAAAACGTGAAATTAGTATTATGTCGAAGTGTATACAGTATTTTACCGCTTAACTCGAATTTATGGTTGGAGTGCACCCTCACTAATCATCATTGAAAATGCTGTACGGCAGACATTCTACAGGTTAAATTTGCACTGCCTTTATACTGTATTTAAAAATAAAATAAATAATATATTTATAGTTAGTAGTATCATTATAATAATAACTATAGACAGACGATAAAACAATTGAATAATCTAAAAAAAAATGTTATTAAACTCTAGCAAACGATGCCTAAAAACATTATTAAAGCATTATCTGACCGTACGATGACCTTATATAAAAACATTGCTTAAAAGAAAGCTCATGGTCTAAAGTTCATTAATTAATCAATACATCCCTTGATATGCATGGTTGGTGAAAAAAAAAATGTAGGGATACAGTATTATGCCATTATAGGTGGTACCACAAAAGGTCCTGCAGCAATTTACCTAGGGTTAGGGGCACAGGCAATACAATTTCTATTGTAAACAAATTTGTGAGGAAATTCATTAATGTGTTTTAAAAATTATTTTGGGATCAAATCCATATGAGAATAATGCTATCATTAAGTGTTAAACCACATCCTCGAATAGAACAATTCCATCATTCACATGTATGTGTACCATCAGGCAATAATTAAAAGGATGTCTTCTCCTTTCGTTCAAGTTCACATCCAGTGTGACATCGTTTCCACACCTCTTGTCCTCTGAATGACACCGGACTAGTGCTGATTGAACTCAGTGGGGTTCCAATTTTTATTTTCTTAGTTTCTTGTTGAGACATTTTTGCATATCAAATCACCTTAAATTACATTACAATAAATTTAATGTATCATTTGTTTTAATATCAGATCCACTGCAGAACCAATGTCATCACAAGCTGTGCTCTGGATCTGATCAATTTTGTTTTCATCCCCAACTCGGTATTTACCTGCAAATATAATAAAAACATAATAAAAAAAAAAATTTATTTATAAAAATATTTACCTACAAATATAAATAAATATCATGCTCATGAGATTGAATTATATCTATACTGTATATGGTTTTTCTGGAAACACTAAAAAAAACCACAATTAAAACTGCTTGATTACAAGGATCAAGGTAAGTAGCATTATCAATAATAATAATAATAATAATAATAAAAATAACATTAATAATAATAATGATAGTAATATATAATAATAATAATAATAATAATAATAATAATAATAATAATAATAATAATAATAATAATAAATTTTTTTTTTTTAAATTATATTTATAATAATTTGTACAAATGTTTATTTTTTTTTCTGGAGCTGGCTTTAATTACAAATCATTCATTTACACAGTGTTTGGGCTTTTTTTTAAGAAGGCTAATGAACTTGATGATAATAGGGTAAAAAAATTATAAATTGATTACTAGCCATATTTACGGTCTATGCAAATATGAATGTTAGAACAGTACTATTTATAATTTTATTAATTGGCGAGACCATACTATATTCACAATTCAATTATAAAACACACACAGTATGTTTTGTATGTTTAACAATAGATTATTAAATTTCTCGGGGCATGGGTTTTTTTTCCTGTTCAAAGGAGGCTAATGAACTTCTGGATATGGGTGAAAGGTATTGCCAAAACCTCTATATGGAACAAAAGGGATAAACCAAGAGTGAGATGAGTTGGTGGAGGACAGTCACATGCAAAACACCGACAGATGGCGTGATTTGCAAGAGGCCTTTGCCCAGCAGGCTGGGAATGATGAAGAGCGTTTCAGAAGATTAAATTAAAAACTGGCAAAACTAGGGTGTTTCTGTACTATTTTTTTCTTCCCAGTTTAAAATTTTTTTTCCTATTATATCTATATTAATTTGTACAAAAGTTAATTCTTTTTTTTACCTTGAGCTGGCTTTAATTACAAATCATTCATTTACACAGGGTTTTGGGGGGTTTTTTTAAGAAGGCTAATGAACTTGATGATAATAGGGTAAAAAAAAATATAAATTGATTACTAGCCAAATTTACGGTTTATGCTATTATGTATGAATGTAAGAACAGTACTATTTATAATTTTATTTATTGGTGAGAGAACATATTCACAATTCAATTATAAAACACAGACAGTACATCTTCAACAAAAGATTAATTACCCAGAGTATGGGCTTTTTTCCTATTCAAAGGAGGCTAATGAACTTCTGGATAATATGATGAAAAGTTGGTGCTTAAAAATGGTAAGAAATAAAGATGACCACTAATTTTTAGTGTGAATCAGAAAGCATGTGGCTTCAGTTGCAGTGCCGGCAGGGGGTCAGGTGAAGTTCACCCCACCCCCATCTCAGACAAGCACTCACCATTTATTGTCTGACATTTTAATAGTAATTTTTCGATCCAAAAAAAAAAAAAAAACTGAAATTGTCAATCCCTTACATTGTGGTCTATAAGAAAAATTTTGGGCCATCCTAATCCATAAAATATCACCCTACCCGAGAAATGTTAAATGGCTTGAGAAATAAAGTGGCGTTTGACAACAGTGGCAACTTCCGTGCTTGGGCAGTGACTGTTAAGGGGGGGTTAAGTTTTTAGGCAAGATTTATACTAGCACTATCAGGATTTGAACATAGGACCCTAAACATTTTAGAAAGGTTGCACCCTAACCATAAAACCACACTCCATTTCAGGACTCAATCTACACAATGATTCACGCTAAACAATTTTATCTAAAATCTTACATAACTATATTTTGAAGATACACCATAATTTGATTAACTTGACACAAATATGTAAAGTCAGGGCTCCAATGTTTCTGGCAAAAATAGAATGAAAAGGACCCTGACATTACCATCAGCTGATCTTCTCAGGCTCGCAGCATTGTTCATCACAGCATCATGCAATATGTACTTTTTTTTTGGACAAATGCCATCCTTTGGAATGTACTTTATAATTCAATGATGAAAGTTGAATCACATCTAAACGCCTATATCAAAAATTAACACTAGCATATACCCGTGCTCCGCACGCTGTTGAAATAGTGGGGAAAGGTGGTGATGTACTGTTGAGAGTTACAGAAAGTTGAGCAGGCAATTGTTGTGAATGTTATGGTGACCATGTCATTATTTTTCTAAAGGATGTCTTTGCATTTAATGTTTTGAGTGTCTCTGCTGAATAGTCCTTGTAAAGAATTATTGTGCAGTTTGATCAAGGTTGGATCAAGAATTTTTCAAAGGGGGGTGGCCAGAACAGTTTCACAATAAATAAGCAAGTAGCACATAACATTGCACTGAAATTTTTAAAAATTAGTGGCAAACAGGGGCGGGCATGTTCCCCCCCCCCCCCCCGCGCTCCCTCTCCCCTACTGGATTCGGGCCTGTTGCTTAGAAAATGCAAAGTCTAGAAAAAAAACTGTAAAACAAGAGAGAAGTTGTACCTGTTTTTACAAGAATTCCTTTCATTCCAATCTTATTAGCTCCTTCAACATCACCAATTACATCCTACGGGAAGAGTTGAAATAAATAATAACACATCAATATGCTATTTCCAGAGGTCCCAAGCTTGGAGAAGCCAGAGTAAGTCTGGTTAATGAGCCTCTCTTAACACATCTTATAGTATTTTGTCACGATGATAGTTATGGGCTTTTAGTAGTGCCATACCAGGGGGGGGGGGGGGGGTGCGCTAGGGTGCATACCCTCCCAAAAACTCCCACCGGAAATTTTCGAAGCAAAAAGATTACGCTCAAGTAGGTAAAAATCTTCTAATATATCACCTTATTTTGTGAGATACCGCCCCTTCACTTAATCATGGAGCCTCCCAACCTCCCACCAGAAATTTTCGAAGCAAAAAGATTACGCTCAAGTAGGTAAAAATCTTCTAATATATCACCTTATTTTGTGAGATACCGCCCCTTCACTTAATCATGAAGCCTCCCAACCCACATTTCACATTTTCACCCCTATCTTCACCCTTCCCCCCACCCCACCACCCATTTCAAGACTCCTAGATATGCCACTGCCTTCCAGAGAGGCAATTAATAATGAAATTAGTAAAAGCAAGTAACATTCCAAATTTGATTCTGATTTGCTGGATATATGTAAGTTTCTGTGGGATTTTGCTTGCAGGAATACAGTACCTGACACTGTGTTAATTACCGAAAGACTCCCACAATTCGGAAATCTGAAATCATATTCACAATAGACAGTGTTACATGGGATGCATGCTATTAATATTACTTAGACATCCTGAGTTAATCCTAACAAAATCATCTGACGTTATCAGAATATCATCATAAAAATTACAATTAAAATAAACTGTAAAACAAAAGTTGCAATATACTGCAAAAGCTGATCCAGGTGCCATGTGCCATTAATTCAGAACCTATTTTAATTTTCCTTGATCTTCCACTCAACTGTGTCAGTCAATGCTACGAACTGGAAGGGTCAACTCTGTTTTCGTATGAGTAATTGCATCTCAAGGGATTTTCTGTTGGTCAATTGGACTGCTATTTGATGATCTCTTTCCCTTCCTCATTCTTACATGGTGCACATACAGGCAGTGGCATATCTAGTGGGTGTGTGGTGGATAAGTCACCTCAATTTATCATCGAACCCGCCTACTTTTGTTCGCCCATCAGGCCTACATGTACCACCATATTCAATACCACTGCATACAGGCAAGAGAACAGAAATTGAGAGGAAAATCAAACCTGATTCATAAATTGTACGAGTTAATAATTTACATCAATGGGAGAGGTGGGTAAAAGAACACCCCCATCACCTACAGGTATGCTCCACCATGAATAACAGCACAACTTACATCTCCAATCATTACAGCCTCCTCTGGTTTACAATCTATTGTCTTGAGAGCGCTAAGGAAGAACGATTCTCGTGGCTTGCCAACAACTGTGGCACGGGTGCCTGAAGCATACTCCAGGCCTTCCACAAACCCGCCAGGACCTAGTGCAAGGCCATCCGGTCTTTTGAAGTAGCGAGCCTTGTGTACAGCAATCAATGGATGACCTTCCATTAATAAGCTACATTATAAAAAATTAGATTTAGATAGGTCTTTTTTACTTTATTTTCATGCCATTAGAGATATACCTGTACTGTACAGAAGTGACAAAATAAAATGCATTTTAAATGCATTTGTGAGGTTTTTATTTGGTACTTTTATTTAAATTTTAAGCTCCATCCAAATTATAACATTTTCTAACAAACAACTGTTGTATTCCCATATATAGTCATGATGTGTCTATACATGATAGGCATGTCATATGTTTTTGTCAAATACAAATTGATAAATTTTGGACAGGGCTTCAGTTAGGTGACTGCAGTATCTTACTGATGGCCAAGATCGTTTAAGAATGAAAAAATATATTCATTAGAAAACTTTTTTTTTGGAAATCATATTACTGTACTGTATTTTAAAATTCAGATATATAACATAAAATATATTGTTTAACATACCTAAAAGCAGAATTAAGCTTCTCATAATTAAAATGCTGAGGGGCTAAACCTACCAGGACTGCATTTGGGTTTTCCTGTGATATGCCTGAAAAAGGGATGAATAACAGTAATACCAGAGAACATAATGTAACTAACCCATCCCTAAACCTATCAAGAGTGCATATGGGTTCTCCTGTGAAATGTCTGAAAAAGGGATAAATAACAGTAATAGAGTACAGAACAGCAAGAGGTCATACACCTTGATTTTGCATGCACGCAATGAAATAAAAGACAAAGTACTATTATGAGGGGGGCACCCTATTAATATTTTTAGCCATTCTTTTCTTTTGTGAGAATACTTGGCTACCAGTGACTTGCAAACCTATTATGAGTATTAGAATTTTAATAGAGTTCAAAATTCGAACAGGCATTTCTAAATGCAGCACATGTGTGATACAAACAACTACTACGCGTATACTCTTCATGGTAGTAGCCCTACTTTTCGATATAGGATTTCGTTTCAAAGAAACCCCCAACAGTTGGACCTCTTGACGTTCTACACTCTTGAGAAATACTTGAGAATATCTCTTAGTTTCCCGTGTAACAGACTCAAATATTGATGAAAACACTTTTGTCACCAGGGTTATTATGACACTTAGTAGTTTTGGTCTATGCTGTGAGCAGAAAAATAATTATATTAAGAAAAAACAATTAGGCATATATCTCGGGTGGCAGAAAAGCCCCTCCAATTAAAAACCACTTTCGAAAACCGAGGTTTCCGTGGTCTTTAGCGGCTTTGGTCTCTAATTAGAATAATAAAGATAAAATACATTGGGCTTATTCGACTGGTTCGTTTCGTTGAGTACAAATTTTTGTTGAGTATTATTTTCATCTGACTGGTTCGTAAAATAGACTTCGTTGACAACGAAAATTAACGTAACCAGAATGCGTTAATCAGCGTTAAGTTATACACGACCAAAAAAATATGGCCAATTGGTCAGTTTAGCAACAAAATTTGTGTTAATAAAATTTAGATTAAATTTCAGAAAATAAAAATTATAATATTTACCCATATTGAAGTCAAAAACTGGATGAAAACATTTTTTTACAAAAAACCCATACTGCCACAATCCGAAACAGCCTTCATTACGCAGCGTGTATCGCGGTAACTATGCAGCCATTTTGTTTTGTCAAGTATTTACCAGTTTTTCGTTTGACTGGTCGTCTTCGTTAAGTAGGATTTCACTACTGCACAGATGGGCGTGGTTTAACGAAGAACGATCAGTCGAATACGGCCATTGTTAACTAAAGCGGTCTTTAATTGGAGGTGGTCTTAATTGGAGGGGTCTTTATTTAGGGGGAGATCTGTATTTGTGGTGATCTATTTTTGGGTTGGGTCTTTATTGAAGTACCTTCAAAATCTTCCAATGCACAATCATCTAGTAACAACATAGGCCTTAAGTTCTGGTTCTCGACCAATTGTCTTGCGGCAGTCAGTGATGTGAACAACTCATGCTTATGAACGTTGAAGCCAAATCGTTGCATTCTTTCATAAAGACGACGCTTACTCTCTTTGGTTGTATTTGTTACAAAGAGGACATGAAGAGATGAATCTTTGAGCCTAAAATTAATGTACCACATACACATAATTTATTCAATTATTATTATTTGGACATATAACATATAAAATTCATTTAAGCAACTAAAGTATGGTATGCATCCTCACTTCAATTGTATTATTATTATTATTATTATTGTTATTATTATTATTATTGTTTTGCGGACATTTATAAATTAAGGTATCAATGGTGATTTGCTTACCAGTAAAAAAAAATTAAAGTTCTTTCCAAATTCTATTAAACAATATTCCCAGCTAAAATAACAGTACATGACAAGAAATGTACAATAACGCTTTTTTATTTTACTGTTTTCTTTTTTAATTACAAATAACGACAGTGGGTAACATTCCAATGGGTTGAGTTGATTATTTTGACTGCAAGAAATGGCAAAGCCAACCGAGCCACTGATATCAACTACTGCGGGTGCTAATCCATGACATTCCATTGAGTAGTGCTCGACTGACTTGTGAAGTTTAACTGAGATGCGTGTTTGTACTGGACATTACGGCTCAGTAAAACTAATCTGTTCATTGTTACCAAGATTTTACTGGGGTAATCCACTTGGTTAAACTAAATGATCGTCTTGGAAAGTTTTTATGATAGGTAACTTTCCTGGGCTGTAATAGACTAATTAAGGTAAAACTAACAAGGTTAGTCTTACTGAAAATAATCCAGTGCTATTGCGGTTTTAGCCATGAACCACTTCCGCGCTAAGTGAAATTCTGCCTTTAAAATGCCACAGTAGCAACTAGAATGAAGGCGCACAAATTACCTTTGAACTGCTTGTATTGCACCAGGTATTACATAGTCCTCAACATGTAGAGTGCCACTCAAATCAACCAGCACCGCTTTAAGTTTTTGGCCTAACGACATCACCACCCGTGTAGTCATAGCAACCAATTAATAACATCCGTCATTCACATTTTTTTTATGGTTGTTGCCCTGAACAGACAAAAAGACACAATAAATTTGAATGCAAAAATATTTCAAAGTTTTTTAACTTATTAAACACTGACCTTTTTAATAATAGCAACTTTTTAAATAACATAATATAATAACCTAGGACTTATTGTCATAATCCTGTCTGTAATTACTAATGACTTGAAAAATCATACTTAATATACTACAAAATAAATAATAGAGCAGAGTTGACTATTGCCTTTTTGGCAATTTCAAAATCATTTACCAGTCACATAGAGGCTACTTTTAATAAATAAATCTTTTATAATTATTAACACCTATAATATTTGCAAATTGATGACGCACACTGACGTATATACCCTAGTGGGGTCCTCTGTCAGTATAGATTCAGATAGCTTGGTTTTTATAGTATAGTATAGTATATTATTAGATGCTCGCTTCCAGTTTCAGGGTCCTGTTGTTGGAGCGTGCAATTGGTGCAATATGATCACGAAACATGTATTTTTATGTCTAGGACTAGTCAGTTCACATTTTTCTATTCACACCAACACTGGAAGCTGCAAAATTAGTGAGCACATTCTAAGTGCTGCATAACAGCACAGTAAAATTTTTTATTTCCCCGCAGATGATACCTCAAAAACCAGCTCAAATTTCCTCGGAAAATCGCTAGAAAAATAGGTGCACATAATAGCTGTAAGCATAACACCTTGTACATTGTTTACGGTATATATTATACAAATAGGTCAAAACCTGATTCCGAAATGCGCTGAGAAATTTCTAGGCTAAATTTTTACATATATCTTTATCATGTTCCCCGTGCAGCCTTACTTTACTGTCTGGTAACAAAACAAGGTTCAATGATTGTATTAAACAATTCAAACAGCGAGCAAATACGCCATACATTTTGTTATTCGACGGGCGTGGCCGAGGTTGTTCGCGGCAGAAGACAGGCTATCCCTAGGCTAGGCCATGGATACCTCCATGGCTAGGCCTAGCTAGAAATAACAACTCCCTGCCAGAACTTAATTCTTTCTAGGTAAGGCCAACCAAGGGTTAGCTGGCTGGCCAGGCCTATGCTCTAGGCCTACATGAATTGCTGGAACCCACTAGCAGTAAATTTAGACCCTGAATGTCACTCACTTAAATAGCTGGACCACCTTTGGCAATTATGAAGTGATCGTCAAGCCCTTTGCAGTCAGATTTATTTATACTGTATCATAGAAACCTCCATGTGGTTTTTAGTATGTTTACCTACTTTTCCTTTTTTAATGCACCACGGTTGAGGGCGGAAATATCTGTCTCTTATCCACATCTAGATGTGTATAAGCACTATGTGTGAGCGTCAGTCATTTGGATGACAGAAAGTGCCCGCGAATTCATATGTCTCTACAGTCTAATGATATTATACTCGCCTTGATAGCGTCAGAGACCGTCAGAGACACCCTTTTTTCATACAATCCAACGTTTCGTTGTTTGGTACAATAATAAATATTGCCATTTAAATGATCCCTTGTCCATTAAATATCTTGTACGGAGTCTTTGCAACATTGTGCGCTCCGTTGGCGCTTTATTTTAGTATATCATCTGGATCTAAATCAATATTTATATATAGGCCTATTCTGATCAACAAAAACGAAATATATTATAAATTCTGATCATGATTCTGGTATCGCACTCTCCATCTGCTGCCAACGTATGCTGTTGTGATTTGAACTTGCTTTATCTTTATTCTGTTAACAATAATGTTGCATATGGGAGTTAATGATATGCCTATGCCTGGTTCACCTCAGAATGTGTATAAAAATGTTATACACCCACACACTGTTGCTACACACTTTTTGATCTTTTCATTATACTCCCATCGCTATCGCATATGATATCGATTATATGCAAAATATTCCGAATTTATATTCACTATACTGCCAATATACGGTACTCTATCTTGTACTTAAAGTTTTGTGAACATTGCACCAATCGGTGCAAGTCTTGTGTAAACTAATTTGGCAAATGATTCACTTATCTACGCATGCGCAAGGCTCGAATCTCCATCTTAATTTCTTAATTATTTAGATGTCGGCGAAGTATTTTCCGATATATCACACGCTAACTCCAATTTCCAATTGATCTATAAGTACGTGGGCCTATCATGAGATAATGCATAATGAACATTTCGATAAATCTAGAAGCATAGTATTTTAAAATCATTTTTGTTACAGCATCCAATTCTTTTCAATTTGGAGTTTTTCTTATGACAATTTTTTTTATTCCTGTATTTTTTTATGTTTACATATGTGTATGCTTGATGGACCATGAGTCTGAAAGAATACAAATGTACTTGAGCATGAATAGATCATTGAACACTAACATAGCAAATTACATTTGAGGGGAATACTCTCTGAAGTAAACAAGATCATAATGCGTAACACATTGGAAAAATACAAATCGTTTCAAAATGCCTGCTTACTTGGAGATGTGTCATCTCTTTAGTTCTTTTGTTTATTTGTTTGTTGTTTTTTGTTTGTTTGTTTGTTTGTTTTTGGCAGTTGGAATTGTTACATCAGTCTTAAACGAATTCTTCCTAATTCTGATTGGATGTTATATAATGTATGGACTTTTAATAAATGCAACATAAAAAGGTTGTATTTCTAAAATTCACATACGGTGAAAGGCAGTCATCTCTGATGAAATGTTAGAGGAATAAAGAAAAATGTGTAACAGGTGCAAAAAAAAAACAAAACAAAACAAAACAAAACAAACGAACTGAATTAAAATAGAGTAAGTTAACCCGTAGAAAAATAATGTACAGAATTTCTAAAGAAACAATTTTGTAAAATTTCTATATGGCATTTTTATAGGCTAATTCTATATGATTTTCTATAGAAGTAAATAAATAGAAATCTTGATATCAGAGTCTAATTTATCCCACTGAACCCGACTATAATAAGCAAAGGTTAGGCCTATGATGATATCAAACAAGTTCATAAGCATTTTAGTGTTGACACTTCTTTTCTTTAACGAAGATTTTAGCCGTTGACACTTCTTTAAGACGATTGTTTTGATTACTATAACTTTGACAAAGAAAGTTAAAAGTAATGGAATTGGCTGAAAAGCAAGATTATCGAGGCTGATCTAGCCGACTTTTATTTAATGTACAGAACATAATGTAGGGCCAAGACATAACACAAATACCGTACCCTTGCACAACTAGGCTATACTGATTAAAATCTGGATTTACGCTTAATACATTCCGTCAAAAACAAAGCGCCATCAGAAGACTTCTTAGATACATACGGTACCCACTCACGGATTTAACCATCAATTACGGTACCTCACTTCGCTTTTAATCACGTTTTCAGTTATTCTTCAAGCCAACAGATTATATTGTGCTATTATTATTTTTTTCCTGTGATTTGTGACGTCAATTTATTCTCTTGTACGTCTTTTAAAATTCCAATGTTTTATAAGTCGATATCCTGATAATTGTTTTAACCTGAGGAATGTTATATTTGTATCATTATCACACATAAATTATTAATGTAATAAAAATGCATTCGATAATTCTTTGTTATTGTATACTTTTCAAAATTATACATCAATAACTGAGGTTGTAACTATGACAAAAGTTATATCCAGTAATGCAAACATAATCTATTAGAGTGTATTCAGTTACTATGAATAAATAATAAATTTAAAGATTAACCTGCAACAAAGTATAGAATAGTATTCTCTATTTCCTGTATTTAAAGAATCGTGACTGCCATACCGAGCTGCAATAATGCTAACAACTAGCAAATCCTGTTTGAAAAATGATGTCCCGGTCAAACGTGACGCATTCTAGCAAAAATAAGCTGTTGTCTCAAAGAATGAAAAATGACATTATATTAGATCTTTGTAATCTGATGTTAATAGCTGATAATTGATGCAAAAACTGTTTAAAAACGGAAAACTAATGGCGAAGATATGATTTATATTTTCAGTCCAACATGCATTAAGATGGTCAATAAATGGGAATGTCGGTCACAAATGTTCTAAATTATAAGCATTTTAGAAACTTCATCTTACCACGTCAGTGTCTATGGGCATGTCAGTAATTTATTGCCAGGCAAGACCAGCAATAATATTATTTCCTGAATCATTGGATTTGTTTAGGGTAAAGCAAAGGTACAGGTCATGATGAGTAACTAATTATCACCATGTCAAGGCGAGTTTACCCTTTTAAGTCTTATTTGTTTAAATAATACTCTAAACAACTAGGATGATTCGTCACATAGGCTAACACTATACAGTTATGATTTATTACCTCAACCGTTTACAACTTTCCTTCCTTGGTCTACAGTGCACAGCATGACCACAATGCTGAATGTTTTTGTCCATCATCATAGAATTTAACAATAGTAGAAATTTGTCTTGAAGACTGATCTACCGTATTCAAGACTTTAAAAACTTCAGAAATCTTAAATTACTTAAAAACTGTAATGATATGCGCATTGTAACCATGAAGGTATTATAGTCAACTATACTACTATACTACCTCCATGTTGTATCTAAGAATATATGTATAGATTTTTTATTTTGTGTAACTACTTCCACGTTTGCTCATGCTATTATCATACGTGCGTTAAACTAATACTTACCGTTTGTACTTAACAGCAACATTGCTTTAGACATTATATAAAGGGATTAAAGTACTTACTCGTGACGAACGAATAAAAGTACAGCATTGAATTCCTGCTGCAACCAATAAGCCATAAGTCAGTCAAAAGATAGTGCCTGGGAATTGGATTTGAGCTATAGCGTATAGGTCTGTATTGTCTAACAGTATGAGTCTTGCTAGCGAGAGGCTATACGGTCGGTTCGAATCCACTGGACAATTTTTTTTTTTCCATAAAACTTCAAAAGGAACTTTTTGAAGGGTAATGCTTAATACCATTATAGCATCTATCTGAGAAGTGTTATTATTATAATATATATATATATATATATATATATATATATATAGGCCCTATATATATAGGATATATATATATTTATATATATGCTGAGATACAAAGATATCATTATACAAAAAGGTACACGAATGCACGAATAGATACTCCTGTTCCACGCATATGCGTGACACTAGTGCTTTAACGCGCATATGAAAAATAGATACATTTCCAAAAGAAAAGCGGGAGTCAAGCGAAGTCAAGTGTCACAGCCTGTACAATTTGCTAATTAATCCAGCCGTTTATTTTTTTATTTTTATTATTATTTTTTTTAAATTTATGGTTTCCATTAAAATGAGCATTATATTGAATCATGTGTGGCTCAGTGTGTTTCTGTAAGTTTTCTTAAATTGATGGATGGTGGTGGAGTTTATGAGGAAAACGAAGATTCGCACTTTTAAGGCCTATATATTTTTTATTGTGAAAATGACCCCGACTGAACCAATAAAAATATTGAATTTTGTCGGTCTCGTTTATAGCTATAGCAGCCTTTTCAAGTATTTCGGGAGATAAAGTACAGTAGTACAGTAGTTTGACGATAACTGGTTGTGTCAAATATCATTCCTAACGTGACGCAAACATCTCTTGGTTTTGTGCCTGATATTTTCATTAATTCCATCCTATACTACACAGTTAACTCGATTAATATTATGAGTAGCGTTTTCCGGTTGATGGATAAGGACGGCTTACACCACATTATAAATATTCATATATTACAAGTCAGAGCAGGCACGTCCTCTATAAGTAATTCACGGTTCACTGGGCAAAGTCTCCCTCTTCTGTACGCTAAGAAGTAACAACCATTTATAACGGCGTAAAGTGCTTCTCATCGTCAGTTACTACGGAAAACCCAGCGTGGAGAGATCAACATTTGCTTTTGAAACCGGGATTAACACTCTTGCACTTAAAGGTTCGTAAAAGTTTACCATTTTGTATTTTTGTGTTTATGGTCGTGCTTATGGTTTTGCCTGTGTTAAATACTGAAAGACGTACCTTGATTGCATTTACCGAGACCAAGGACTTATAACTGTTATAACTCCTTGCCGAGATCGACATTATTGATTAAGTTTGTTTAATTTTGCGATACGCAAAATTTTCACCAACATATGACGCACAGGTTTGGATTCAATTTAGACATAGAAAAAGACAATGTTTTTTTAGTTTACCGTAATGCAATTATACATTTTTGACAGCTCTTGACCGAGACTCTAAATACATGTGTAAACAGTGGGCTCAACTAAATTGGGGGCCCTGTCGCGAGGGACCCTTGTGTAATGATTGGAAAGTTTGGAAATGCAGAGACCATAAGCTTAATTGCTTCCAGCGGCGGAAATAATATTTAGGGGGAACCGGGTCGGTCCCCCCCCCCCGCCCCCTAAATTTTTCAAACAAATCAGAGAAAAAAATAATACATTCAAATTTTAAGTCTGAGTGCCAGTTCCAACCTTCTAGGGGTGATATAATCGTAAATTTGTTTCACCTCAGCCCCAACCATCGTGGGTCTGAGGTGGTATAGATCCTCGATCTGTAAAAGTCCTTCTCTTGGCCCCCTTTCAAATTCCTGGATCCGCCACTGGTTTCATGAAGTCTTACTCTTACACAATGTCTTACAACGAAAAAAGTCCTTGGCAATAAATAGTTCTAGGGCTACATAAATTATTTTTATTCGTTAAGTAAATAATGCTTCCAATAGAGAATTCCGTAGAGGCGTAGGACCGCGTTCAGGGACTGAAACTCCTAATCCAGGACTAAATACATTGGCGATTAGAGTGTCAATGAAAATTTGTTCCCTGGTATATCATATATACATCATTAAATAGGTAGGCCGGTGCATGGCATAGAAAGAAATGGGTACCGTTAATACGAATATTTTCTAATTCAAGGCAAAGTGTCTATTTTAGTATTTTTAAGAAGAGTTATTTTACGACAAAATATTATTCAGTTTTAAGTGAACCTCAGCTAGAGATTCAGCAGTAGCAGTACCTATGGCTAGTATATATGGGAAACTCTTTTACAGCAGCACGTACTTGCCTGTGTTATAGCCATTCGTGGTTAATTGTACGTATTATGCCATCATTTAGGCTATTTGACCCACAGCGCTTTATGGTATTACTATTACTCTATAGAAAGCCATTAATGGCCATTATCGTTGTTTCTTTCCGAAATATTATTTCTGAGACAAGCTATAAATAATGTGCTGGCTGCATCCCCAAGACTTGTCATAGGTTTACACAACTTTTACAATACAAAACGGGCAATAATTGATCATGAATACTATAAACAAAAATAATAGCAAGGGTCTCAATGTATATAGGAATTGAGGGTACATTAATGCAAGATTAGACCGTGTCCTGGTCAGTGGCAGC